ACATCTTTTACCGTGTGTGTGTGGTGTGTGTTTGTGAATTTAGGGCGTTTTAAGAGCAGAAAGGAGCTTAAGAATTTTTAAATGAAACGAACGCTCGGCCTTCCCGTCAAATGCTGACAGTTCAGCTACAGGCGTTATATTAAGCATATTTCATTTGTTTGGTCCTCGCCAAGCGGACTTCAATAAAAAACGACGACGCCGTTTTTCCCAATCTCCTGTCCTCGAGCCGTAAAAATGAAAACTGCAGCTTTTCTTTTACTGCAGAAAGCAATAAACCCCGGCCGGCGCGCCGTTCTGCCGGGTCGAAACCTCAAAGGAGGGCGTCGGCTGCCCCACGCAGGCTCGGCCAATGATGCCACGGACCTGGCGTCGTCGTGTGTTACATCCATTTTTATATTTACACGGAGCGTTAGCCGGGCGCGGCGGGAGGGGGGAGGTGAGGGGAAGTGGTGTCGCGCGCACGGCAGCTGGGGGCTGGATGTGGTGGCGTGGCCGTTGGGGAGGGGAGGGGAGGGGAGGTGGACACGCGGACATAAATAGCGCGGCGCATTGGCGGCCGTGTTGATGCCCATGCGGGCCGCTCCACGACCGTCGCACCCAGCGAAAATCAATTCGACGCGCAGGCACCGTCCCTTCCTCCTCCTGCCCCCGACCCTGGTTTTTTAACTTCCGTGGGCCGACCAGGATAGGTGCTGGCGCGCTCACAAAATTCCGCCCTTCCAACTTCGTGCGTTTTGTATGGATTTGTCGGTGTGGGGGAGGATTCAAAAACAGATGGTTGTGGTGGTGTTGTGTGTGTGTTGTGCAAATTGAATGCTTCAAAAAATGGTTAAAATACCATTGAAAATAGATAAATTTAATTAGAAATTAGTTTTAGAAATTCAATAACATGAGGGAACAATTAACATGGTTAACAATTATTTTAAATACGTTGCAAAAGTGACTTTTGAAAAGTAATATTTTGAAATGTTACTAAAGTTTGAAGCTTTACCTTGAGTGTACACGTGAAGTACAGTCTTTAATCTTCTGGCAAATGGCGTTAATAGTTTAATTTTGGTATTTAGCTTGCTGAGAACATTTCAAATCGAGTTTTATTTTTCTTAAAACGTAATAAAAACAATTCGTTTGCTTCGAAATTGAGATTTATTGGTAACTTATGTACAGAGATATTCTGTTACGTTGACATCATTAAGATTAATTTGAAAGTATATAAATGCGCTGGCATGGCTGAGGCAATGACTGTTGGCACTGCGTGGCGCTGAGCGGAAAGTGCTAGTGTTCAGTCCGATAGTGATAGATTTTCGATTCTAGATTAAACATCTAGGTCGAACATCACCGATGTCTGGATAATGTTTCTAACGCCGGCGGCTCTGATTCGGTATTTTATCGCTTCCTCAATAAAGATCAACCGAATGCCAGAGCTACGAAGACTATTCCTTCCTTATTGATTGTCTGATTTCTCTCCCTTAATAAACACACACTATTTTAAATTTATTAGCACTACCATGCATGTCGAATATCAGCCGGTAGCAATGGGACGCGCCGCTGCTGGGCTGCTGCCCCACAGGCCGAAAATTCTTACAGGGGGAATCCATGCAAAACCGATATTTAGGCCGGATCCATTCGTTCCAGCTGGGCGAGGAACACATCGATATAAAAATGTACTACTGCTACAAAAATAATTACCATAGGTTTGACGCGACATGAAAGCGCCAAATATCGATCAAATCAAATAAATATCAAACACTCCTACGCAGATGAATCAATACAAGATTCTGGGACAGAGAGAAAGATGGAGACCTAATCGTCGCCCGAAGAAACTACGTGAAGTTAAAAGTAATAGAAATGAAATGAACTAATACATCGATAACCTAGTTAAGTAAAGGCGTTTATTAAATACTCCTGCATTGCTATCATTGGCGTTTATAAATATTTTTTTTTCTGCTTCCTGTTTCATGCTTTGTGAAATAAAGTGCTTGACTAGTCAGAAGTCCTTTCAACTGTCATTTTCTAAAAATATAATTAAGAACGTTAATTCAGGCGAATGCAGTTTTTCTTCTTCAATTGGCCACAGAACACGAGGAAATCATATTAAAAGAAATGTCAGATAATTCTCTACATGTCCTGTCCCGGTGAAATGCCCAAGAAAAAATTCATCCCCGAAACGCACGTAGACGGGATTTTTTTTTTTTTATAGGACGGTTGGGCGTAGAGCGGTCAGTTCCCTCCGATCTGTTTGCCGCCCGTCGCATCCCGACCCACCTCCCTCCTCTCATGGACAAAACTTCGTAACGCTCTGCCCCCGCCCGCCCCGCCCGCCCCGCCCCGCTCCCCGCCCCATCCCTCCGCCCGCGCCACTCCACTCCACTCCCCTTCCTTCATGACAACTCGTACGCTCCGCCCCCGCTCCACCCCGCTCCACCCCCGCCACTCCCCTCTCTCTTGACAATCGTAACGCTCCGCCCGCTCCACCCCGCCTCCACTCCCCTTCCTCTCCATTGCACAACTTTCGTAACGCTCTGCCCGCTTCCACCCCGCTCCACCCGCTTCCACTCCCCCTCTCATGACAACTCGTAAACGCTCCGCCCGCTCCGCACCGCTCCACCCCGCTCCACCCCGCTCCACCCGCTCCACCCCGCTCCACCCCGCTCCACCCCGCTCCACCCGCTTCCCATCCCCCGCTCCAACCCCGCCCCGTCCCTCCGCTCCACTCCACTCTATCCCCCTGCCTTGCTTCGTTCCGGCCCGCTCCTTTCCGTTCCCTTTCACGCCTTACCCTTCTCTCCTACCCTTCCCTGTTCCTGCTCCGCCTCGCCCCGCCCCTCCGCACTTTTCACTACGCCCCCCGCTCGCTTTCGTGCCTCAATTATCCTCATCCTGTCCCGTTCACATTGCGTACCGTCCCATCCCACCCGCGTTCCCCTTTCCCCGCCCTGGTCAGCGGCCGGCCCTGTCCCAGTCCCAATTCCATTTCCATCGCTTCCGTTTTATACTCGTCCAGCCCCTCCCCTCCCTCCTTCTCTAGTCCCGTGCCCTCACGATGGCGCACCAGTCCCAATTCTGTTCCCCGTCCCGCCCTATCCCGCCCGGCTCATCCGGCCGCCACAGCCCAAGACGCGGACGAGCAACGACTGCCGTCCAGTAGCACGGGGCGGGGCGACGCGCCACGTTCGCGCCGGCTGTGCACTGAAAGACGCCGGGGCAGAGGGACATGATTCAAACGCGAGGAAGCGGCGGTGGTTGGGGTGGGAGGGGGGGTGAGGGGCGCGAGGATGTCGCGCGCAGGAACACGAGGACGAGGCTTGGGTGGGCGGGCACGTCGAGGTGCAGGGGAGAAAGCGGACGGGAGCGAGGTCAAGGACTGGGAGAGCGGTGAATAGTCGCCAAGACGATGGCGGGCGGGCGCGGGAGGCAGTGATAGAGTGAAGGGAGCTCGGCTTGGGTGGAATGAGGTTAGAAGGAAATGGGATGAAAAGAAACCGCTACTGATAGGGATGGGTCGGAAGCGCTGCGGTGGGCGTGGGGATGGGGGTTCGGGCTGTACGACCGGGGAGAAGAATCGGAGATCCTTTGACACAGTCCGTTAGAGGCCGAGCGTGTTGTGGTGCATAGACGGTTCTGAGAGGGTACATTACACCGGACAGGAATACCCTTAGCTGTGTGAAGAGCGTATGTGGTACAGACATTATTACAGAGATTTTGGTATGGTATTAAATTAGTTCTGTAGTTTTACTGTCATAGAACATGAATATTATTCTATGGAGGGTGATTTTTTGGGAAAGATTGTTTTGTTGGAAAAAAGGCTTATGAAATACTTTTTCACGTAGCTAATTAACGATTTAAAGTTAGGGTTTTAACATCAACAGGAAGCATCACAAATTGAGTTGTTGTTTTTTTTGTTTCTTTTTAGGAATCCCCATTTTTTACGGGAGTAGTGTTTTCCCTTCTTCATCGCTTCGCACAACTAGTTGCCAACATAACGTAAGTAAACCAGAGGAGTGCATGCGCTTTGTACCGAAAGGCTCGTAAGCGCCGGAACGCCGTGACAAGTGGCTAGGGGTGCTGGACCACCGGAGGGCGAAACGGCGAGCGCCGCGAGAGGGGGCGGGTTGCGCTGAGAGGGAGGGGAGGGGGGAAGACGTGCGCCCGGACGCGCGGGAGCGGAGCCAGGGGCGGGGACTGAGAGGGTCGCATGTCACTCGGGCTTTTCTTTGTCCAGAGCAAACGGCGCGCTCGAGCACTGACAGAGCATTTGACGAGACAAAAAGCCAGCGACGGCCGGGCGGGCGTTGCGTCTCGTAAAGGGAGGGCGCGGGAAACGCGATACTCGGGTGCCGGCGCCGGCGGCACGCGTGCCGCCCGCGCCGCCCGCGCCACCCGCGCCGCCCGCCTGCGTTCGACCGAGTCAGTGCCGGAGCGCTGCAGGCGGGATCGCCCCACCACAAAATGGACGCTCCGAACCGCGGATGCCCAGAGAGAGCGCGGGAGCTTCGTTTCGAAGTCTGTTGATTCTTCGTCCTTCTTTCTTCTTCTTCCGACTTTATTTCTTCTTCCTTCTTCGTCTTTCTTTTTTTCTTCTTCTTTCTTTCTTCTTTCCCCTTCTTTCTTTTTCTTTCTTCTTTCTCTTTCTTTCTTCTAGCACTTTCTTTCTCTTTCTTTCTTTCTTCTTCTTTTTCCTTCTTCCTTCCTTCCTTCTTTCTTTTTTCTTCCTTCTCTCTTTTTATTTTTCTTCTTACTTTCTTCACTCTTCTTCTTGCTTTTCAACCTCATTACCTTCATTCTATTTATGACGCTCAGCCATTTCCAACTTAGCCAAATAATTTTTCGTGTAAGAAATTGTCTTATTGTTTTCGCCGTCATTGTTGTGGTTCATCACGCCCCTCTTGTTTAAAAATGTCATTCTATTGAAATATTTCCGCTCTATCGCGTTTGTCTCATTCCGCAGTTGCTTCTTTTACGGGAAAGAACTGGAATTAACCATTTCCCCTTACTTGAAGTAGTGATTGGCGCTTCATTATCTCGACTCGTTGCGTTAATCAATTTAGTAATTCTTGCACTAATAATTATTAAAAAACTGACACTGATCACAACAATCATCTTACTAATTTCTATTATAGCTAGATATCTAACTAGCTTCTATTATAGCGATTACTTCAAATTGAATTTATAGGTGAAAATTACGTATGTTCTTTTCCATCATGATTTAAGTTATGTATTCAATATATACAGGTTTTACACATTGAAAACTTTCATGGCAATGTCTTCAAAATATTCAGATATATAAGATGTTTGTTTGCTTATAAAACAGTGTTCGTTTCTATTCTCTATTTTGACGCACGTTAACGGATGTTTAAATATCATATTCATAGGTAAAGAATAATGAAGTTATTGTACATTGTAATTTTCTTTGAAAATAACTTTCAATTTTACTTATTGAACATGTTTTTTTTTTTTTTTTTTTTTTTTTTTTTTTTTTTTTTTTTTTTTTTTTTTTTTTCATTTGATGTAAGTATTTTTTAATGTACACAGGATACAATTATGGATTTGCCAGAAAGTCATTGGACAGCATTTTTACAGTGTGTGTTATAAGAATTCATTTGTTAGGTCAGTGAGAAAGGCAAATATTTATATACACAGTTTTAATCGTAGTAAACAATTTCTTCCTAACCTCAGAGCTGGGTTTATTTCTCCAGAACACATTGATTTCCAGTAATTAGTTCCAGTCCAAAGAAGCTTTCTTCCAGGTATCGTTGGTTCCCAGAGGGCGCGAAGGGCGCGCAGAGGGCGGGTTTTGTGTACGCACGCCCTGACGGGCTGATCCGCATCAGATTGCTTTCTACGTTAACAGCCTTCCAGGAAGTGGGCGGTAGGGGCTTTGACGTCATATCTGGAGGGTGAGCGCTTGTGAAGCCTAATGGGAGCAGTCTCGTTTGTCATATGTGAGTGTCACTCCGTTTCAGGGAAATGTGATGCCAAAACCAATGAGGAAAATGCGAGTAACAGTTCTGCTTTATTGCAGACTCTTCTTTAAAGGTCGTTGGGCAAAGAGATTAACATTTTCGTAATTATCACAGGAGTTTGTCAGACGTCACTGAAGTTATAGTTAGTTTCAGTTGCTCGCAGAAGTTCAGTTAACGTGGAAGCCACGTTCTATAAAAGCCATCGCAAACAAAACTTCAGCAAAAATATCGAAAGTTTATACTTTAATCAATTTTAAATCATCCCTGAGAACTGATTGTGGATTATTTACATTTAAATCTATTATACGCTCTTCATGCACGCCTAGTCTGGTTTATTGCAGTGACGAGTTACATAAACCCCTTCAAGTAATTCAAAATAAATAATTGCAAAGAATTCTAACAGCTGGTTCATTCCTAAACAGCAAATAGCTAAGAATTAAATGTAGTGCCATTAACATGCTCTCTGAACGTTTCTTCTCTTCATTAGTACTCTCGCCGAGCTGCTTCAAATTCAACCTTGCCCTTTCACTACGAACTCCGAATACGTTTCCGCTTTCCTAAGAATAAACTGAAACCTCCGTGTTTTTTCTTTATCTTTCTCAAATTTATATTATATAATAGAACGCCTTATCACATAACATTTTGAAATTAAAATTCAAGAAAACCGACTTTTTAATTAAATTTATTTAATATTATAAATAGCGCAATAAAAGTCGTGCAAAGCACAGTACGCTAAGGATGTTTGCCTTTAAAATATTTTAAAAAAATATTGACATTTGCAGTCGTCTCTGAAATACGACGTATATGAAAAAAAAAAGAAATAATTTTTTTTAAAAAGTTTAGTAAAAATCTGAAACGGTATCTAAAACGTATCTTCGACCTCCGATGAATAATCTCAGAAATTTCCTGGAATTGATGATAATATGCTGTTGAATTCTCCTGAATAATCAACATTTGTGTATAATCAGATACGTTGAATTCCATTTGGATTTAATAAAATAAAATAAAAACAGTCAACTACATAAGTGAAGTTGATTATTCCCCTAAAAATTAATGATTTGGAGGATTAACATTAATTAAGGCGAATTATGTAAATATCCACACTACAAATTAGTTGAAATAGAGGCTGTAAAGTACGTTTTGTTATCAGCTTATTCACGTAAATATTTTAGTTGAAGAGTCGATACGTGTTAGGAAACTGTCTTGCTTCAGTTTTATTTCGGGTTAACTATTAAAACAGAGAGCCAGCAACAGTTCAACAATGCAATTAAAAAATGCTTAGGCCCGTTATAAATTGCCCTTTATGATTATATACTAATTGACTTCACGACTATTCTCAATGCTAAAACTATTTTGGTATGTTTTCTTGATTCAATTTGTTTATATTGCAATATATGTTCTAAATCTTTACACGAGTACCATAGGCATCTAGCCGGGTACAGATGCTAGAAAATATTCTCAAATAAGAAAAAACAATATTAAGACAGAAAAAATTACTAAAATTCAACTGGATTCCTACCAAACAACCATTCCTTAGCTGAAAACGTGTTTTTGATGTTAAGTTTTAAAGTCTCATTGCTTATTCCTGTTTAAAATTTTTACATTATTGTTCGTAACTAAATGCTTCAAAACGTTTTTGCTGTGTACCATTTCAAATAAATTAACAACTTTGGTTCTAACAGTTCACCATTTCTAAAGGCTAGTTCTGTTGATTCACTGGTTCTTGAAACACGAAAAACTCGACAATTGTTAAAACTTAACTTTTTTAATTCTTCAATCAAAAATCCTTACAAATTCTTAACTTTTTTAATTTTAATTTCGGTATTTTAAAATATCTAAAGTTAAAAAATCAGTGTTATTTCAAAAGTTCAAAGTAAAAGATACTAAAATTAATATAAAATTGTTTTTCGTTGTGTTGGAGACTCAAATACTTTTGAAAACTGGTTGAAACATTCTTACTTTTTTCTCAATTATTTTGGAAAAACTGTTTCTTTATTTCATTTTGCGAGTATTTTGCGACCATTCTCTGTTAGCTACTTGAAGGCTGAGAAATCATGCTGGTTGCATCAGGCCTGATCATTTAAATCGCAATTTACAATAAATTATTTCTACCTAATCTGCATGTTATTAATCTATTAAGAGTAATAAAAGGGCAAAAATGTATTCTTTATTTGAAAACATACTGAATGAAAGAGCCGTAAAACACTGCGTACATTTTTTATTTGGATGCTGTAAACTTAAAAAATGCAGGTTCAATTGAATTTTTCTTCTTTTCTCTTCATTGAAATTTTGTTTTTACGAGCTATCAGCTAATTCGCGGGGTCCAGAGTACACCATCTTAGAATCATGAGAAAAGCTGGCACTAAGAAGTAATTCAAATATGATGGTTTTCTGAAATGTGAATGGATGACATAATAACCGCAGAATGGGTTTTAAACTATCTATAAACCTAGAGAAGGCACTTCACAATAAGAAGAGAAAAGAGGCTCGTAAACGTTGAACTGCAAATGTGATTTACCAGATAATACAAAGGACTGTCACAACAATTTGAGATGGTCTCTAAAAGACTGGTCACGTCGTTAAAGTGTCTTTGTGTTGTATCACAGGTGAGTTTGCAAGTAAAAAACAGTTGATTTTGCTGTTGGGAGTACAAAGGGAACTTCTATTTTATAATTAAAGTATTTTTTGAAAAAAATTTATTTTTGGGTATTATTTTCTTAGATTAAATATTTTTAAAAAATTAATCGTTGTATACATTTCATTACTGTTCGCCCATTATTATTGGAAAGCGGAATAATACACAACTTTCATGCCAAAAATGTTTCTAGTTCATAGCATGTTTAGAATAAATCTGCTCCAATCGGAGTGTTTAATTTTTAGTTTATATTTTGATTTGTTTGCTTGGTTCCGAGTGTTACGAGACGACTGCTGCTGAATCACATTGTCACAGATGAATGAATACGACCTTTGCGCACTCGTAAAATAAGTTTTATAGTTTTTTCGTGTACAAAAATACCCCCCGCCG